GGGCTCTGGTCCACGATAGCCACCTCGAACTTGTAGGGGAACGGCCATTGCAAGTACCTGGGTAGGTAGTAAAAATTTTAAAAATTACTTTAAGCTAATACTAATGTATCATAATAGAATATTTTTTTATTAACTATTATAAAAATTATTTTATTATAAAAATTATGTAACTATAGCAATATTTCTGATGTAATTAATTTTAAAATATGAAAATCTTTTTATTATAATTCATTTTTTTATAAAAATGAATCCAAACTGGTTATCCCAGGTAGAAAAGTTTACAACTACATATCATATCAAATTATTGCCTAATATTTATTTTACAGTTTTTATTGTTCATTTTATAAAGTTCGTTTAGTTTAAAAGTTTTGTTTAAAATTATATCAAATAATATTATCTAGATAAATTAATGTATTTTCAGTACATATCAAGTAAATAATAAATCATTTAATATACTAGATAAAAAAAATTGCACATGGTGTGTGAATAGTTTCAAAATCACACCTGAATATTATGCTGTGCTACACAATACAGTAATACTCACAAGTCAGTGAATTACAAATAAAAAATAACCCACAGCTTATGTAAAATTTTATAATTTTAACTTTAAAGTTTTTAAAAAATATAAATCAGTTACGGTGCTTTACCATATCATATTTTACAAACTCAATGAGTGACTATAAGTATATTAATAAAATAATTTACAGTTTAAAATTATAATTACCATACTAGTACTTTGATACAAAAATTATAATTTATAATATTGATCAAAGATAATTTATAATAGTGTACTATATAGATATGTTACATAATTATTTTCAAATTATCAAAATTATAACAATATAAACAAGTCATACCTATCATAGTCTCCCTGAGCCATGGCCAGGGATATGGCAAAGGCATTCCGTTTTGGCAATAAAGTCAGAAACAATTGCATTAAATATCCATTTCTATGCGTATAAAAGGGTTCACTCGTGACGACCGCTATTTTCTCATCCCTGAGCGACTGGTTCTGGAGTTGCATGTAGTCCCTGACCGGCCATTCATAGTATGACACCATTTGGTTATACTTCGTGGACAACTCCGCAGTCCTATAGGTCGTCCCGTAGTCTCTCAAATGGACGGTTAGCTTAACGAAAAGGCTGTTATCGAGGAAATACTGGTCCGGATGGTCGGCCAACACGTCCAGCGCTATATGGCGTCGATTCCCACAGCCGTCCGGATTGGGGTTAAAGTCCTGATCGGCCGATGGTCTGAGAAATGCCGACCGGAGTCGACACGAGTCGGTGTTGGGAACCACCGTAAAAGGCTGTCCATCACTGAGCTTAAGATAGTCTATGGTGGAGCTACCGGTGCTACTGTGAGTACTACTACTGGTGCTATTGTGCCGGTGATTGACGATAGAGATGACTGTTTTTAGTTTGTAGGGCCACTCGACTACCGAGTCATAGATACCGGTGACCAGTCGGAAGAAGGTGCCCACATAACCCTGGTTGTCCGAGTAGGTGGTGTTGGGTATGAGCATCATCTGTAGCCGATAACCTCCCGGTTCTCGAGTGTAGAAGCGAGATGACAGCACCAGTTCCTGTTCAGTCTCAACCAGTTCCCAAAAGTTTGGTATTTTCCATAAGTACTCTATAATGTGAGTTCGATCCAGGTGATCTACCTTTTGTATTTGCTCGATTGTGCCGTAATCTATAATTATTATGAATTAATTAATTAAGACAACTAAACTAATGTTTTTAAATATAAGTTATTTATTTCTATTGTTTATTTTATTTATTTTACAAAAAAATATTATGTTAAAACAAAAGCCTAACATGTATATACCACTTTTTCTATTATATTTAAAACTATTGTACAAAACTTAATAATAATAAAGGTTTACAGTTTAAAGGGATTAATAATTATTTGTCTGCATCACTTCAATTAAAACCATTAAGATATTACTGATCTAATTTAATTAAATTAATATCACACAGGTAGATTTTAGTGTCAGTTATTAAGTATTAAACATGTTGCTATTGGATATTAATTTAGATAATACATAAAAGTTAAAACATCTGACTCGAATAAATTTTTATAATTTTAATTTAATACAAATTAAACTGCCTCCAATTTCCCCAACATTATTTTTAATAAAAATCAATTAATAATTTTAAATATATTGATATTCTAATTTACAGTCTTAAATTTAATTTAAAAATTAGCCATTATTAAATTTAATTATAATCCGTTTAAAAATATTTAATCTAATGTATATAATTCTTTGGCATAAAGGTTATAAAATAAATCATACAAAAATTTTCAAAGGAATCAATTAATTTTAAATATACATTAAATAATTTTAATCAGAAAATATAGTATACTTATGTAATATATAAACACAATATATAAACCCAAATGCAATTAGTTTATAGCATGCTATAATAAAAATGGTATTAAAAATAATTTGTTACCGTTTTTGACAATATCAGATATATTGAGCACATCATCGCATATAACACTTGAGACACAAATGAATACAATAATTAATTGCACACAAAATTATGCTATAATAAAAATGGTATTAAAAATAATTTGTTACCGTTTTTGACAATATCAGATATATTGAGCACATCATCGCATATAACACTTGAGACACAAATGAATACAATAATTAATTGCACACAAAATCGGCGATTAAAATCCATTATGACTTTTCCCCGACACAATCACAAAACTAAACAAGTAAACTTTTCTATAACTCGAAAAGGGTAGTACACAAACATAAACTATTTTTATTGTCTAGCGATATATAAAAGTAGTGAACAAATACTTTCGCTGCTATTATATATAGTTTTTGTCTCTTTTTTTGGTCGACGAGTAAAATATAATTATGTTTTCCTTTTCGTTAGACATTCGACGCAAACAATTGAATGGAAAGACGAGAGAGAAAGTTGTCTTTTTTGGTGTATTTTTTTGGCGAAAATAAATGAGAATTTATTTCGAGTGAAAGTAGGAGAGAGAGAGAGTGAGTGAGAGAGAGAGATGTTTCTTTACTCTCTTACACTCTCTCCGATAGAATCTCTTAAGTCTCTCAACTCTATCAGAGTCTCTCTCTCTCTCTCTCTCTCTCACCTAAAAGTAATATACGGTGAGAATAATAGGGACTAACAAATCATTTATACGGTTGGCTACACATTTCGTCTGCACCCGACTAAACACCCGGTGCTCTCACTATGTCTTTGGAATTTTCATTGGAGAGGACAGGGAGTAGCATAGGATGGGAAGGGAAGGGAAGGGAGCACTGAACTAAAGGTTCGTCACATTTATTAGTTTCTCATTCGTCTGTACTTTTGGACACATTTTAAGTACAAAATAGTGACTCGTATTTAACGCAAAGGTCTTTCGAAAAGTCGGTTCAAAACGAGTCACAAAACGCTTGAATGGGTTTGGAGTTCAAGTTCTGGTGATTTATTTTCCACACTTTATGTGTCATTATACCTATTGTTTTGCATTTTATATTTGTTAGGATTGTGAATATTTAGTTAACTTGTTTAATAATATTATATTAACAAGGGATAATTTTAATATAGTAGCTAGCTTGCAGAATATTCTTTATAAAAATAGTTGCATTTATAAAAGTACTAGTTAGTTTTGTATTAGTGTCAATAGATGGCCAAATAATATCTATTCACTTGATTTATATTTAATAAAAAGTGGATTTCTATTTAAGATTTTTATCATCAGTAATTAACATTAAAAAAAATAATTATGAAATTTAATAAAACAATTAAATTAGCTAACATTTAAAGTAAGATAAAATGGTCCTTGGGGAATTATTATTATTAAAAATGCAAAATATAATTATTTGTAATTTTGATATTTATCTAAAACTGTAAATAATATTAAACATTTTATAAATGCAAATAAATCATAAATAGTATTAAATTTGGCCAGGTTCACCGCAATTTTATTTAGGTACAGAAATTATTTTATAAATATTATAGCAGTAAAAATTTTGCTCGCATCTTTTAAAATTCAAAACTTTAAAAAATAAAACTTTTCAAAAAAAATCTGTCATTTAATTCAAATTATGATCACTTAATTGAATAGTTTATTTTAGAAATATTTTGTAATTTATTTGGTTTTATAAGAATGCATTGATTAGGTAAACATATTGTAATGATATAATAATAATAAGAATTAATAAAAAGCACACAAATTAAACATAAATAGTTTGAAACACAACAACAAATAAATTATAATACATTTTAATTCACTGACAGAGCCTACTGTAAAAAGTCAACAACTTTTATATATGATATTAAGATTTTTAGAAATGTATTATTATAGCTTAAATCTTATATAATTTTGGATGTCATATTAATGTTGGTATTTTTGGTATAAATTTTATACTATTTTATATTTATCAAACTGTAACTTTATTTTATAAAATGTCAAGTGTTATTAGTAGAAAATTCAAATTACTTTAGTGGCGATTTGTTGGCAATGGTACGATTTTTTAGAAATGTAATATTACAGCATAAATATTACGTCATTTTAGTAGTAATAATAAATATGATATTAAACTTTTCAAATATTTAATGAAATTTTATAGTTATCAAACTGTAACTTTATTTTATACAATGTAAAATGTTATTGGTAAAAAATTCAAATTACTTTATTGGCGGTTTGTTTAGTGGAAAACCAAAATTTATTTTAACTTTTATTTTAATATTAATATACAATCTACTCACAATCAGTAAATATTATTTTTAAATCTATTTTAGTTTTATTGGAATTGCATTAATATGTATGTTAGAAATATAATTGCTTAACAAAACATTTATTTGATTTTACCCATTAATTCAGTGTTTCATTTATATACAAGTCTTTTACTCGTCTGTAAGTAATTATAATCACGAAAATAGACTTTTCTCTTATTTCTGCGTTGAACTGGTTATCAGTCAATCAAATGGAGACTATTTTTTCGGTGAACTTTCTATTTGTTTGCGACGAATAATACATAGAAATAGTCACACAAGACATACAAGACATATGAGACGTGGTATTCACAGAGAGCTAGTAATTAATGGCATTTGAAGGACAGTATTGATTATCCGGGACATATAAAAAGTCATTACTGGAGTCTCTCTCTCTCTCTCTCTCTCTCTCTCTCTTTCTCTCTCTCTCTCTCTCTCTCTC